CATCTCCATCTCCATCTCAAGTCACACCTAAAATCCCATCCTTACTGGATATGGGCATACAGTATTTGGATCCTTACTGAATATGGGCTTTTACTGGGCGAAGAGTTTTACGGAGTTGCACAAATGATGCTCCGTTTTAATAAAATTGCTTATAAACAAACTCTTTGGTGGGTCCGGCATGAGTAGAATTCTCTATGACCTTCTCCTAACTTCCATGTGTCTTTTTCCAACAAGATTTCCCCATTAAAATTAAAATTAAAATAAAACCCAACTCCAATCACCAGTTCACCACTCCCTTTATCAATCTCACAAGCAAAGGCAAAGCTTATAAACCCCTCCACTTCTCTTTTAAACTCTCAAACAAGAGAAAGATCCAAACTTTATTTTGATTTCCAACAATGGAGACGATTCACACTGGGTTACAATTTCGAATTCCACCAATTTCATCAAAGAGTTTTAGTGGTAGAAGAAGTGTTTTGTTTGCTCATTCACAGTTTTCTTTGAGCCAAAAGAATGTTAAACCATTAAAAACTTCTAAAGCTTTGATTTTGAAGAAGAATGATATGTTTTTTACTACTTCTAGAGGAATTCAAAGATTGGGGAAGAAGAATTCTGCTTTTGTTGTTCGATGTGAAACTCAAAGTAATGGAAGGGTATGAGATAAAAGTGTTAAAGATTAGATTTCTTTATTTTTTATTTTCTATTGGGTTTGATGAGTTTGACTTAATTTAGGTAAATTTTGGGCAATTTTGAATTTATGTGTGTTATTTATTTATTGTTTTTGGATAGATTACTCAGCAAGATTTTACTGAAATGGCATGGCAAGCAATTGTTTCATCGCCAGAAGTGGCGAAAGAGAATAAGCATCAGATTGTAGAGACAGAACATTTGATGAAGGCTTTACTTGAGCAAAAGAATGGGCTTGCTCGGCGAATCTTTACAAAGGCTGGAGTTGATAATACTCGTTTATTAGAAGCTACTGATAAATTCATTCAGCGGCAACCTAAGGTATCTAGTTTTGATTATATTTTGAATACAGCAATGCACACACGTAAGGTTGTTTGGTGCAAGTGTCAGGAATTATGTTCACTGTAGATCATTGTTGCCTTCGATTACTTGTGATTGTGCTAATCCTTGTTGTGTGCGCATTGGCCTTGTCAAATGTGACGTGTAAATGCTTGTAATCTTATACAGCACTGAACATGTTTTCTGTTGCCTTGTTTAATAGTGCTTTGATTATACTATTTAAGTGGCACCTATATTCATCTCTTATTTATTGGTGAAATTTGCTGATTTCCACAGGTTCTAGGTGAATCATCTGGGTCCATGTTAGGGAGAGATTTGGAAGCATTGATTCAGAGAGCCAGGGATCTTAAGAAAGAATATGGTGATTCCTTTGTTTCGGTTGAGCACTTAGTACTTGGTTTTGTGCAAGATCAGCGTTTCGGGAAACAGTTATTTAAGGATTTTCAAATATCACTTAAGACCTTAAAATCTGCCATTGAGTCCGTAAGAGGACGACAAAAAGTCATTGACCAAGGTGATCATCCCATCCTTTACTTTCAGTTGTTATCTTAGTCATTTAGTTCTTGGTCTTGTGCATGAGGAAGTTGTCCTTCATTTGATTTGTGTATGAAGTCCTTGTATATTATTGCATGAGAAAGATACGCTCGCACTAAGGTAGACAGATATGCTCTTTAAGTGGCAGCCCCATGAAAGGTGATTGATCATCACTAGCTTGGCTCTACCTGCCTTGGAGATTATTGGGCCATCTCCTTTTCTGCAACTATATTTTGGAAGGACACTATTGCTTCTGGTGTCTAACTCCAACGTTGGTGCGAGTATTAAGACAGAAAACCCCCATATTTAGATTGGTAGACTTGGCCTTACAATTTAATTATGTAAAGCAAAATAAAACAAATCCTGTGACCGCTACGATATGTATCAAATTCTATCATAAGTGAATGCATATGTCAGAACAAATATTTTTTAGTTTTTTAAAAAAACTGATTTTTGACTGCCAGGGACAAAAACATAATATATGGTAAGCTCAAAAAAATTTACTGTTAAAGGAAACTCAAAATAGTCTGTGCCTTCTGAAATGGGGTTGCCATACATCTGAATATTCATGAGTCATTTTGAAGCATTCAGTTTCAGGAATATTCTAGATTGAACCAGCAAACCTAGGATTATAAGTATAAGTATGACTTATCATTTGGTGTTTATGGCGATATTGTAGTGAAGTTGCATGAAAACTATTTGTTGGTTTCCTTTGAGACATTTTAGACTTTTAGTACTAGTAGTTTGTTTAAAATGGAAAAAGTTGTTTGTTGTGTTGTTGGTGACAGTGCATATGAACCTACCTCTTCAAATTGCTTATTCTAGTTATGAGGATAGAAAGAATGCTATATTATGTGTAATTGAGTTTTATTTTAAATACCTTGCTTTGGTGCATTTGGTGTCATATCAACTTGGACAAATTATCCCAAGTGTAAGCATGCTCTTTTTATGAACCTGGTTTGTAGTTGAAGTCTAATTATTAAGAGTTTCTTACAGATCCTGAGGGTAAGTACGAAGCATTGGAGAAGTATGGAAAAGATTTGACAGCTATGGCACAGGCAGGAAAGCTTGATCCTGTTATAGGAAGAGATGATGAGATACGGAGATGCATACAGATCCTATCAAGGAGAACAAAGAACAATCCTGTGCTGATTGGTGAGCCAGGTGTTGGAAAAACTGCAATATCAGAAGGGTAAGTTGCAAAAGTTATCATCTTATGCTCTTGTGCGACAGCCTTGCTTTGCTGGCTAATTTTTCATTCAGGCATATTGATTTTTTTTGTCCGAGCTGTTAATTATTACAGGCTTGCCCAGCGAATCGTGGAAGGAGATGTCCCTCAAGCTCTGATGAACCGCAAGGTGGGTATTCTGAACAAGAGGACTCAAGGCAGTGGAAGTTTATATTTGTAACAACCATATATTTCTCCATCTACTTAACACCTGTTATCAGAGGAACAGATGTGAATATTACTATGTGGACTTTGCATTCATTAGTTGCATTAAGTTCAAGTGTGCATTGGCTGCGACCATTGCTAGTAATGTTGACTGACATTACTTGTATATTTCTTACTTGCGTATTTCATTATTCAAAGTAAATCATACAATGCAAGTGTTTTTCAGCATGTGACTCTTACCTCTAAATTACCATGTAAATTAATTTTAGTCATGTTTTGATATTCATTTTTTCAGTTGATATCCCTTGACATGGGTGCACTCATTGCTGGAGCAAAATATCGTGGAGAATTTGAAGATAGGCTAAAAGCTGTCCTGAAAGAAGTGACTGATTCTGACGGACAAATTATACTTTTCATCGATGAGATCCACACCGTAGTTGGGGCAGGTAATGGCACAAATGTAGTGTATTACTAAAACTTTTCAGATGCCTTGTTGATGGTTTTTGTGTGAGAATTTGGGTGTAATAAAATTCTATTCTAGACATATATGAGGTGGGTTTTTCCGAAGGTCATATGAGCACACTGCTATTGTTGGTTGATTTCTCGATTGTATTGTGAAAATGGAAACCTTTTCGTTTTGGGAAATATGTATGAGTTTATTGTCTTAGTTAATTGTTTCTTTTTCTGACATGTCTATTTTAATTTGTTATTGTGTTCTGGGTTTTTTTTTCTGAAAAAT